AAGATTAACCTAACTAATCTCTTTCCCACAGTTAATCACCTTTAACTTTTTAGCACAAAATCACTGTCATTGAAGTACTGTGGGACCTATAGCTTTGAAAGGAAGATTTATGCGTAGTAGTTTAGAGTTGCTTAAGTGTTTGATGTAATTTTAGTAAAACTTAATGTCTTTGGAACTCTCAAGAACTAAATAGTTCTTCAAGTAGTCCATAGTAGACTTGGAAAAAGTTCACTAGGCTTATTGGAACTGTACTTGAAACACAAACATGTCCCAATTGAAGGAAAGGACTTTTCTTGATGACATGAGCATCTGAGATTTTTTCTTTCTTTCTCTTTGGTTTTCAACTTTAAATCAGTGAGATTTGCAACAATAGTAGTATGTTGGCATTAAATATTCATGACAGGCCAGACGCAGTGGTTTACGCCTATAATCCCAACACTTTGGGAGGCCAGACAGGCGCATCACTTAATCTTTGGAGTTTGAGACCAGCCTAGGTAACATGACAAAACTCCATCTCTACAAAGAATACAGAAATTAACCAGCTGTGGTGGCATGCTTATACAGCCCCAGCTACTTGCGTGATAGAGGCAGGATGATTGCCTGAGCCCAGGAGGTAGAGGCTACAGTGAGCTATAATTGCACCGCTGCTCTCCAGCCTGGATGACAGAGTGAGAGCCCATCTCAAAAAAAAAAAAAAAAGAAAAGAAAAAAATTATGACAGCAAGCTACTTTTATGCTAGAAAAGGGAATAGTATAGCAAGAAAATGTTTTTATTTTTATTTAATCTATAAGAAACAATGATTGCATTAGTTTTAGAATACTAACTTTATAGACCATTCTCTTCTAGATCTTTCTTTACCACCTTTTGAAAAATAGTACAAATTTCTTTACTTGAAATTGGCCTTGTAAATTTACATTGTCAGAAGTTGGAAAGCAGCACAATAAGATGCAAAATATGCAGAAGCCGTCCATCACTTTCTTCTGCTGAGACATCACATTGGGGCAATCCGATTTGTGGTAGTTGGGAATATGAACTTTGGAACAAGTCTAATCTGCTTCAAATCCCAGCTTTTTACTTTTCAGTTGTGTTTCTTTGGGCGGATTACTCTCTGTGCTTTAGTTTTCTTATTTAGAATGTGAGGGCTTGTTCTTCAGGGTTGCCGTGGGAATTAAATAGTCAACATAAAGGAGTCCAGAAGAGTATCCTGCCAGTAGCAGATACTCAGCACATGTTAGATCTCTTCTCCACCGGGTAGGTGTATTTTCCTTGTGAACAACTCAAGTGCTTGTATAGATTAATGAAGCCATTGTTTTAAAAAATCTTATGTTTGTTATGAATTCAAGATATTTTTACATCAAGCTTGTCTATAAAGACTATCAGTCATGTTGGACTAGTGAAATGTAGTGAAGTTTCTAAAGATGATGAAAGTAGCTGATAAATATAGGGGCTTCTTTAAAAAAAAGATCAAAACAAACAAACAAGCAAAAAGCCTGGTACTAAGTAAAATGCCTCCTTGGGGTGTGAGACATATGATGTCTAGGGTATTTTGCACATTTGTAATCTCTTCTTTTAAAGAACATGTTTCTGCAAGTGTTTAGGATCTGTTTCTTCTTGGAACCCCTCCTGTGCATGCCTCACACTCACCTCTCAGCCATGGTAGCTGTTGTGTAGTATTTCTTACTCTGTGTTTCTTTGAACTTACAGAATTCTATACTTAAAAGCTTGATGTCTCCAGTTATAAAATTTAAGATTAATAAGATTTCTTAATTCATCATATTTTGAAATTGATTTATTTTTATAAGCAATAGAAATTTCTCACTAATGCAGCTGGAAAGTGAATTTGTGTTCTCTGTCAAACCTTTGGGATATTCTGATACCAAGCCCAAATGGAAGGGCTCAGCATTTCTGACATATAGGAAGGTTTGTTATACTTCCAAAATGCTACACATAGGAAAGGGCAGCTACCGGTAGAGTTCCAGGATAGTCCTTTCTTTGCTGGTTATGCTGGTTCAGTCTGCCTCCCCTCTCCCAGAAATTTGTCATGGAATGAACATTGATAAAGAAACTGAAATGTCTAGAGAGTTCTGCTGGATAGTCAGTCAGAGATGAATAAGGATTCATTTTCTGTTCTCAAGGTTTGTGACCTATGAGAAGGGAGAGGTAGGCAGGATATAAATGCCATGGCAGTGCTTGGAAGGAACAGTTAATTCTAACTGGGGAGTGTGGCAGTCACTACAGGACTGAACGAAGGAGGACAAATGCAGAAATGAAAACTTAAACTGTTTTAAAGGAAGGGGCCAGGGGAAGAAGAGAGCACCCTGCTTCTAGTGGGCAAAGGCAGCCACCCCAATCTTCTTCAGCCCTTCATGTTTATTGGGTAGAAAGAACAGGGAGGAAGAGGTAATGATTTGTCAGCTGCCTAATTGATCACAGGTTCATATTATTGCTAACAGGCTTCAGATGTGCCCTGCAGATGGTCACAAGAAACACTTGTGCCTGGGTTGTGACTGCCCTCAGCATTTCTTCTGGACGGCAGACGCAGTTTGTCAGTTTGCTAACATTCTGCATTTGTGAGAACAGTTTGCTCTTTACTTACAAAGCCTCCAGTGGTATACTGAGTTGATCATGACCCTCATTCTTTCAGCCTGCAACAGGGGAGAATGGGGAAGACTTTACAGAGGAAGTTGTATGTGAATTTGCCCTTGAGGGGCAGAGGATTAGCAGGGCAGCATGGGGGTAGAAAGTGGACAGTGGCCACAAATTGAAGCCTGAAATGCCAGGTACATTCTAGGAACAGTGAACTGGTGTGGCTGTTCATTGGTGTGACTGAAACCTGAGGGTGTCAGAATTGTTTGGTGAGAAATCAATCTGGAAAGGTAAAATTAGGCCAGATACAAAGTTTCTTGAGTGCAATTTAAAGGAGGTGGGACCTTATTCTATAGATAACATAACTTTAATGTGGTGAGAAAGGATAATGAGATCTGTGCTTTTGGTGGAAAATCTAGAGAGTGACAGGAACAAAGTGAAAGAGGAACTAGAAGCTCAGAGATGAATTAGGAGATTGTTGCAGTAGTGAAGGCAGAAAATCACAAAGATCAGGTTCGGCTGTAATCAGATAATCTGTAGAAATGGAAAGAAGGTTATATTAAGAGGCTTAGCTTCAGAAGCTGAACTAATGGACCTTGGTGATAAGATAGGGAGATAGGGTAAGGGAAGAGTGAAAGTTGACTCAGGATTTCCAAGTTTCTACACATAGTGATTCCAGTTCTACTCATAGTGAGATTGAAAGAGGGATGTGTTTAGGCTGAAACGAGGGTATTTCTTGTAAAGGAGTTGCTTAAGCAGAGACTTCAGGACTCTAGTACTCCATATCAGCACTAACACAGGTGACTTCATATTTCATGCTATAGGAAATTTCATGTTTTGGGTTACCATGTGTAAAAAGATATTGGTACCTGTTACATATATGAGGCCGAACATGGGATGTATGGCAGGTTCTTGAATAACAATGTTTTGTTCAATGTCATTTTGTTATAACATTGATAAGAAAAAAAATTGATTCCTGGTGATGGCCACTGTCTGTGTAGAGTTGGCACATTCTCCCTGTATCTACAGGTTTTCTCTGGGTTCTTCATCCCAAAGCTGTCAGCGTTAAGTTCATGGCATGTCTAAATTGTCCCAGACTGAGTTGGGTGTGGGTGGTGTGAGTGTGCCCTGCAATGGAATGGCGTGCTGTCCAGGGCTGATTTCCACTTAGCTTCCAGGATAGGCTCCAGCCATCCATGACCCTGAACTGGAGTAAGCAGGTTGGAGAATGAATGAATGAATACGTATTATTGTAACATAAAAATTTATTAAGTATACAGTACACAAATGTAGGACAGTAAGCAATGTGGTGTGAAAGAACTCAGTGAGCCTGCCATATTTGTTGTTATTTGTTTTTGAATTACATTGTGGTAGGAGATGATCTTTACAGTTTTCCCTTTGCAAACACTTATTCCCTGATTTCGCCTCCACTACGATGACTGCCATCACTCACTGATGCACCAAAAATTGGGTAATTAATTGTCCTACTTGTTTTTAATTTTTCTTAAATGTGTATATAGCTAACATTTATTTCTATGTTTAATATTAGGAAGGTTTTGAGTTTTTACTTACAAGTTTGATAGTGTTTTTGTGACCAGAAATATGCCATAGGAACTTAATTCTTATTTCTATCAATTACCCTACAGTAAAAATTGGTTTAATTATATGTTGCTTCACTTAAAGTTATAGTTTTCAAGAACCTGTTAATGTCATTAGGTGAGCACTTGTATTTTTTAAAGTTTATTATATCACTTTTTTTTTTTTTTTTTTTTTTTTGGAGACAGAGTCTCGCTCTGTCGCCCAGGCTGGAATGCAGTGGCGGGATCTTGGCTCACTGCAGCCTCCACCTCCTGGGCTCAAGCAAAAGCAATTCTCCTGCCTCAGCCTCCCATGTAGCTGGGACTACAGGTGCACACCACCATGCCTGACTAATTTTTTGTATTTTTAATAGAGACAGGGTTTCACGATATTGGCCAGGCTGGTCTTGAACTCCTTACCTCAGGTGATCCTCCCACCTCAGCCTCCCAAAGTGCTAGGATTACAGGCATGAGTCACCAGGCACGGCCAATTATATAACTTTTTTTATTTTTGAGACAGAGTCTTGCTCTGTCACCCAGGCTGGAGTGCAATGGCGTGATCTCGGCTCACTGCAGTCTCTGCCTCCTGGGTTCAAGCAATTCTTTCACCTCAGCCTCCCAAGTAGCTGGGATTACAGGCACCTGCCATCATGCCCAGCAATTTTTGTATTTTTGTAGAGACAGGGTTTCACCATGTTGGCCAGGCTGGTCTTGAACTCCTGACATTAGGTGATCCACCTGCCTTGGCCTCCCAGAGTATTAGGATTACAGGCGTGAGCCACCATACCCGGCCTATATCACTTTTTAACAGGAGAGTAACACAAATAACTTTTTAGTCTTCAAGAGACCTATGAAGCCAAAAGACATGAGTTCCATGGTGAACGTCAGAGGAAGGAAGAAGAAATGAAGCAGATGTTTGTGCAACGAGTAAAGGAGAAAGAAGCCATATTGAAAGAAGCTGAGAGAGAGGCAAGTATGCTGGTTTGATGTGGTTTGCATTTATTTTTTAGATGTCCTATTAATTTGGAGAATTTATTCCAAGAATTTGCTTGAGATGCTTTTGTAGGCTACTTGTTCTTTAAAGAGTAGTTTTTCCAACACATAGTATTTGAATATTGACTTAAAATCATAGCCTGAAATTAAATGAAAACTTTGGCCTTCTTTTTTTTTTTTAAAGTAGTGCATTTATGGAGTGACTAATCGTTGAAATTCTTATAATGAACTGGAAGCTGCAGCAGCTACCCTCTTGGGTGCAAACATTTTTCTTTCATGAAATCCACCATGCCTTGAATCCACAGTATACAATTTTTAGGTGCCTCATTTAACCAGTCTCAGTGGTGGTTTGTCTTTGTTAGTGCCAAGGCTAAAGGAAGAAACACCACTGGATGTTTTCTTGTGCCTGGCAGGGTAAGCCACATTTGCCACAGGCCAACTCCTGAAGGTGGTGGGCCTCACAGCCACAGTGGCAACACAGTGTATGCATCTTACTGTGATGCTTTCCAAACGATGACCTTCCCTTTGTCATCTCACTCCTTTAACTGAGACCAAAGAGAATTTTGGCTTTTTGAGCAAATATTCTTCCATTTGAAATGGTTTACCAAGGGCTCGTAATGGACTAGGTTACTGAGAAGTGTCTTAACCATGAGCCATAAACATTTTTACTATGGCTTAATAAAGCCTTTTTTGAGTATTGCTGGGGTGGTGGTTTGCCCTGAAATGGGGATTTGTGAAGGCTGTGAAGTAGCTTTACTTCCCATTTGAACCCAGTCTCTCAGTCTGTCAGGGTGTAGTTAGGTGGTCTAGATCAGTGGTCCCCAACCTTTTTGGCACCAGGGACCAGTTTCCTAAAGACAATTTTTCCACGGACCAGGGGCGATGGTTTCAGGACGAAACTGTTCCACCTCACATCCTCAGGCATTAGATTCTCATACGGAGTGCACAGCCTACATCCCTCACATGCGCAGTTTGCAATAGGTTTTGCTCTCCTGTGGGAATCGAATGCCACCACAGATCTAACAGGAGGCAGAGTTCAGGCAATACTGCTTGTTTGCCCGCCACTCACCCCATACTGTGCAGTGGTTCCTAACAGGCCATGGACCAGTACTGGTCCGTGGCCTGGGGATTGGGGACCCCTGGTCTAGATGACCTTGGGGTAGTCCTGGCACCAAAAAAAATCACCAGTGAGCTTCCATAGTTTTGTTTGCTTCTAGTTCTCAAGCAGCAGTTTAGGTTTTGAGTAAAGCTATTTTCTTGAAAATACATGATTTCTTGAAGAGTTAATCTGTAATCCAGTTGTGCTAGTTTATTATTTCAAATACACTTACAGTACTTGCTGCGTAAGTGAACTGTGCAGGAAATGGTTTTGTAAAAGTAATAGTTTACTAATTTATTTATAATTCAAATTTTGATGTTGTATTTGGAAAAAGTTCAAACACCAGAAAAGTGAAAGTATAGGATACCTATGTCCTTCCCCTTACCTAGGAAAATAGGAATACCATAATCTCACCCAATCTTCAGTCCTTATTCAGATTTCCCCAGTTGTCCCAAGATTGGCTTTCAAAATCATTCCTTTTTATTTGGTGATTTTTCTGTTTTTGTTTTTGAACCAGGATGCAATCACAGATTACATATTGTACATGGGTATTATGTTTGTTTAGTTTCTTTTATTCAAGAGTTTCTTATATAGCATGACTCTTAGTTTTACCAATTCACTAATAAAAAGATACCACTCAGAACATTATTTAATTCTATAATAAAGGACTGTTACTTAAATATGTCCTTGCCAATATTGTTGTGAAACAAATATCCCTTATCTTTTGTATAAATCTAGATTTTTATATGTAGGTTAGTAAAATGATGTATGCTTAGATAATAGTGTGTGAACATTAGATGAGTAGAGTGGGGAGATGCACAGAACAAATGATGTCTCCAAATATCGTTAACGTTCTGTCTTCCCTATTCCTTTATTGACAACATTCTAGAAGAACTCATGAGGCATGTGTGTGTGACACATGGATTTCTTATATACCCTCCCCACTTTAAGAAAAAGTACCATCTATATTTATCCCTCAGGTTACATGACCATCATTAAGTTATTATTACTACCCAATTTGATATGTCAGTCTATATCTTGGGATAATTTTTTCATTTAACATTTATGCCCCTCATATTTCCAAAAAGTATGCTCAGTAATTTGCAATTTAAAAATGCAGCTACATTACAACCATGAACATGAAGAGAACAGGAGACTTATAATACAGGGTGTGAAGAAGGGGTTTGCACAGAGGGCAGCCGAGAACCCTGGTCGAGGGAATTTTTAAGTGAACACAAAGACTGGGCTCTAAGGCTCTAACTTCTAGGCAGGCAGGGCAGAAGGGACCACACAGAATTTAGATGGAAGTCATCTGCTAGCTCAGCAGAGTGAAATATTTTCCCTAGTATTTATTTCTAATTTCTAAAAATGGGGCCGGGCGTGGTGGCTCATGCCTGTAATCCTAGCACTTTGGGAGGCCAAGGCAGGTGGATCACTTGAGATCAGGAGTTCAAGACCAGCCTGGCCAATATGGTGAAACCCCATCTCTACTAAAAATACAAAAATTAGCCGGGCATGGCGGCGCATGCCTATAGTCCCAGCTGCTCGGGAGGCTGAGGCAGGAGAATCGCCTGAACACAAGAGGCAGAGGTTGCGGTGAGCCGAGATTATGCCACTGCACTCCAGCCTGGGCAACAGAGTGAGACTCCCTCTCAAAAAAAAAAAAAAGTTACTTTTTTTTTTTGCAGTGGCGCAATCTCAGCCCACCGCAACCTCTGCCTCTTGTGTTCAGGCGATCCTCCTGCCTCAGCCTCCCGAGTAGCTAGGTTATAGGCATGCGCCGTCATGCCCGGCTAATTTTGTATTTTTAGTAGAGATGGGGTTTCTCCATGTTGGTCAGGCTGGTCTCGAACCCCTGACCTCACATGATCCGCCCACCTCGGCCTCCCAAAGAAAAAAGATACTTTTAAAAGGATCTTTGAGTGACAGAATGTGTAGTATCCTTAAAAGTAGTGTTTACAAAAGGTATAGCATTGTACAGTATTCCCCTTTATCCTCAGTTTGGCTTTCTCAGGTTTCAGTTACCCGTGGTCAACCACGGTCTGAAAATATTACTATAAGATATTTTGAGAGAGAGAGAGAGAGAGAGAGAGACCACATTCGCATAACTTTTATTACATATATTGTTATAATTGTTCTATTTTATTATTAATTGTTATTGTTAGTCTCTTACACTGTGCCTTAACTTTACCATAGGTGTCTATATATAGGAAAAAACATAGGGTATGGTACTACCTGTGGTTTCAGGCATCCTCCTGGAGTCTTGGAACGTATCCCCCATGGAAAAAGGGAGACTGTCGTACCATATTGATGACTTAATCTTAAGAGAATTGGTGACTATTGGTAGCACAAAAGATCCCTTGTTTTTAATTTTTTGAGAATTTGAAAATGTGTTTGAATTAACTGCCTGTCATAGTGAATAATGGAACCATGCATGCATGCTTCATGTATATGAAATAGTTGTTGATAGCCAGAGCTGGAAATGCCACACAGTGTGAATAATAGTCACATTCACACCTCCCCACCATCTTGTTTAATGTTTCCCTCTTTATAGTTTTCCTGGAAATTTTTAGTCAACCTCATGAATGATGTATGAAGGGCTCTGTGACCTTTCAAGATATTTTAGTATGCATATGAGGTACGCAACCTCCATTTGAGTAACCAGAGAGCTATCTCTAGTCACGTGATAGAAACCTGCCCTTGCTGCTTCCTTTCCAGACTTTGCCCCACTCCTGCTCCTCTCCCACATCACCGGTGCACACGTGTGCAGAAAACTCACTCTCTGTTTGTGCCACCGATTTGAATGACATCTGGGTAGCGTGCCCTTTAAACACACACACGTACCTAGCATGTAACTTTTTTAAAAGCAGGAACCATTTAAATAAACAAATACTAAGGAACTGATGCTTCTCTGAAAAGACATCCTCTGGAATAAAAGCATCTTAGGTTAGAAGGGCCTTATTCGATTATCTGTTTTAACCTTGTTTCCCTTGGAATACTTCTCCTGTCAGGTGCTCGCTGGCTCACAGGACAACCTGTTCCGTATTTGGAACATAACACTTTTATTAGACCAGAGCTTAGCTCTCTGGTTTCTTCCCTCAGTCTCTGATTTTCAGTGAAATATTTCCTCAAATGTTATATGTCATCTTTTTTTTTTTTGAGATGGAGCCTCACTCTGTTGCCCAGGCTGGAGTATAATGGCGCCATCTTGGCTCACTGCAACCTCAGCCTCCCGGGTTCAAGCATTTCTCCTATCTCAGCCTTCCGAGTAGCTGGGAGTACAGGCGCACACCACCACACCTGGTTAATTTTTTGTATTAGTAGAAACGGGGTTTCACCGTGTTGCCCAGCCTGGTCTTGACCTCTTGAGCTCAGGCAATCCACCCGCCTTGGCCTCCCAAAGGTCTCCCCCTTTCTAGACAACTAGGTGTCTTAGAAAAAGATGACATAGCCAGGTGCGGTGGCTCATGCCTGTAAACCTCCATGAGCCACCATGCCCAGCTATGTCATCTTTTTCTAGACACCAAGTCCTGCTTTGTTTGCATGAATGCTAGGTTTCTACCCAGAACTAAAACGTTAATGTTAGATTTACCTAACCAGATCAGAGGACCAAAAATACGGTTATCTTTTAAAATGTAGATTCTAGACACTGTCTTTGTGTTGTTAGAGGGCACAGCACACAGCTGATTTGTATGGAGCTGGCTTAAGACCCTAGATTTTTTTTTTTTGAGGTAAGCCACAATTAAACCAGGACCACCTACATTCTTCCTTGGACCTTGTCTCTTTGAACTTGCATGCAGAACTTCACATAACTTCCATCTGTATTTCTTCTCATTACTAGTTCTTCTACATCATTTAGAATTATTTTATGAGCAGCGTTGTGTGCTGTGCTGGGGGTATAAAAATAAAAAAGACATAGCTCCTAAGTAATCCTCAGGGAGATGCTGCTCCACAGTTAGCCCAGCACATGTGTGCTAAGGGTTTCTCTTTTGCACCTATAACAGAGCACAGGGCACAGAAAGAACTACCTGGGGTGGCAGTTGGAGCAAGATAAGTTTCCTATTTTTTGTTATTAACAATGGGTAATATTTATTGAGTGCTTACTCAGTGCCAGCCATCATGGTAAAAACATTAGATAGAATTTTTCTTTTGGTATATCCCAGTTGTTTTAAAGCTTCCTTTTTATTTGTAAGGTTCCAGAGTTTTATACCCTTCGTAGCTTTGAGAAATATAGGGCATTCCTTAAATTGTGGGAAAATATAAAGTAAAAGACAGACCTGCCCCTAAGTTGACATCCAAGGTGACATTGCTCCCTTTATATGGTTTATCAAGTGATTTTCAGCCCCAAGGAGATGCAAAACTACTGAATTTTATTCTTTAAATAATTTTTTCTTCTGCTTTTTTCACTTAAGAGAAATCTCTTGTGGTAATGTTATAAACTTTTGTGAAAAGAATAACCCCTATAGGTTCTTAATTGGAATGACCCCTTATTCTCAGATTAACAAAAGAAAAACAAGTTTATTAGCATGTGTATTTCACATATACATGGGTGATACAGTCAATGAGTAGTTCTCAAAGAAGTACTTCTTCTATAGCATTCTACCTTCTATAGCATCTTCAACAAAGAACAGTTAATTTTTACAAAAATGACAAGACAAAGGAAAAGGACTTGGAGTCTCTAGGGGCAGCAATTTGGAGGAAGGCACATAGCTGGCAGATGAAGGCTAGCCAGTAAAGCTAGTTAATGTAGAGCTGTCTGGTACCAGTCTCTAGGCCCAAAAGGGTCTGAAGTTGTCTTTGCTGGTTAACCTTTGTTCTCCCTGGTTGGGGAAGGGAGCTGGATACCTTTTGTCTTTGTACATCTATATCCTGCCTTTAGGCACCTAAAGGGAGGTCAGAGAGCTTTCCTGTATCTGCTGCTTCTTAGTTGCCCTCAGCTCAACAGTCCTGCACATTCTGCTCTCTTGCGGCTGCATCAGATGTGTTTAGCATTTATTCTTTGACTTTATCTTTATTGGATAGTGTAAATTCTAACACGATGAATATTTTTATATGTAAAACTTTCTCTGAGTTTAGGATTTTTTAAAGCCTAGATCTCAAGACATTGAAAGACTGGAAAAATAGAATACAGTTTTGATGTTCTTGACATAGTTGACAGTTGACACTTGCTTTCCAGTGATGTTTACCAGTACAGTTTTCAATAACTGTTCACTGCACATATTTTACTTGGAAAATAGTGGTGTTGTTTTTTTCCTTTCTGGTGATTTCTTTCTATACTTTGCATCTCTTATTTTTATTGAGCATGGACTTAAGAGACTTTAGGAAGTTTTGTGGGGAAAATATACACTGAGAAAATAAAAACTCTAGGAAAAGGTCACAGTGTTTTAAAAACAGTTTTGTTCATAAAGCTGTGATTTTTATTATATTTAAAGCATTTTTTGCATGGGAACTCATTTAAAATTAAAGTTACCAAGGGAATTCCATATGTAAACTTTTCCTTGAACTGTAAACTTCTGAGACTTCAAGAAGATTTTGACTGTGTAGGTTATTCTGTGTTGTGCTATGGGGTCCGCCTTTGTGTTGCTGAGCTGGAGAGCGTGCCTCTGCTGCCGTGCTGTGTCAGTAGTGGGGATTGCACTTTTGTTTCCAGCTACAGGCCAAATTTGAGCACCTTAAGAGACTTCACCAAGAAGAGAGAATGAAACTTGAAGAAAAGAGAAGACTTTTGGAAGAAGAAATAATTGCTTTCTCTAAAAAGAAAGCTACCTCCGAGATATTTCACAGCCAGTCCTTTCTGGCAACAGGCAGCAACCTGAGGAAGGACAAGGACCGTAAGAAGTAAGAGACCCAGCCACCCTCCTTGGCAGCCCTGCCCGCACTTGTCACATTGCCCTGTCGGATCTTCCTTGCGCTTCTTACTTCTGCTTCCTTATGCTTTGTCTGCCTCCTCCAACTAAATGTCAGCTCTTGGAAAGGAGAGACCTTGTCCCTCTTGTCCACTGCGGTTTCCCCAGCATTCAGAACAGCACCTGGCACATGTTATGTGTTCAGTATTTGCCAGAATGAATGAATGAACAAAATAAAAATACATCACAGTGTAGAAAGGATCAGTTAGCTGGGGGAAAAATGACTGCTCTTATTTCATAGCCCAGTCGTGACCCTAGTACACAGCTAATGGCTGCTGACCTACCATGAGTTATTTTGAATTTCATGTCTAAATGAAGCTGTGCCCTTTGTTGGGGAATTATAGACATAGATAGTATTTTATTAAACTAATTCTTAGGTTCATTTTTTTAGAACAAATTCTACTGATACTGATTTTGTGAGAATTTTTATTTTAATAAGGGAACCAAGCTGTGGATTCGAACTCCTGTGCGTTGATGTCAGAACTTGTGAAAACAGTGGTGGACGTAAAGATGCAGAGAAAGGTAGAGAGGGCCACAGTGCAAGGGGGCGGCCATGAGTAGCATGTGGATGATAATCACAAGGCGTGTAGGTTTGGGGTATGTGTTAAAATCAGTTACCCAAGTTTTAGAAAATAAGTTTATTTTTCCTTTTTGATAATTTCCTTCTGTACTTTGTGTCCCTTGTTTTATTTCTCCCACTAAAGATGTCTCTGTTGGTTTAACTATTTGGCTGTTGAGGAAATTCATCATGCCTTGTTCTGTTCAGAATGCTCATTTGGTGGACTCTGCCTCAGTTTACTCTAGCTGCCTCTGTGCTAGCAGCATTGCATGCTCCCATGTTCCCCACAGAGCAACACATCTGGTTTAATGCTCTCACTGCATCTATGTCAGACCCATTTTCAGAATATTGCAACTCAACTTTAAAATAATAAAACATAACCTTGGCCCATTGGTGGCTTTCAGTTTTTTAAACATGGAGAAGTAAACCACAGGACTTTGGCAGGTTTTATTGGCTTATATATTTTACAGGGTTTTTTTTTTTGTTTTTTTTGTTTTTTTGGAAAAGAAGAAGGAATTCGCATGTATGATCTTTTAATGTAAGCTCTGCAAGGGCATGGATCATTATCTTGTTCATTGATATAGCCATCCCCAGAGCCTAGAGCAGTTGTCTGGTACATAGTAGGCATGCAATTACTTTTTAAAGAATAAGTAGTATAAAAGCTGTATTTTATTCAAGCATTGAATTTCAAAAGATAAACTATAAATTTATTACTACTTTTCAACCTGCTTTGAATTTTAAAGCTTATGGCTCTTTTATTAATACTTTTTTTCCTTTCATCTTAACCCAGTGTTACTAAAATTAGATTTCCCATTTTTTCGCCTATATGAAAGATAATTTACATTTACCTTGTAAAAATTATTTCCCTGCTCCACTTGAGAACCCTACTGTTGTTTGCAAAATCAGGGCCAAACCCGTATTTTTTGAGAGCTCTCTAGAAGAATTTATCTTCAAGAAAATATGGTTTGGTGGTTTTGGTTTTTTCTTTGCTTTTTCAAAGTCCCATACCCAGATATCCTATAATATACTAGGTGCATATTTGCTAATTTTTACTTCTTGAATGTTTTCTTTCAAAGTGTACCAATCAAAAGGTTCTTTTTCTTTCCAGCTCCAATTTTTTGTAAAACAGAAGTTCCAGAGCACAGAAGGTCATCATCACAAGCAAACTTTATTAAAAAAAAACTAGAAGTGTGCTTTGATTTTGCTGTTTTTATTTGTTTTATCACTTCTATATTTGGTGAACGGCTACAGTTACTGATATTTATGGAAAAGTACTTTCAAGTACAAGGTCAATACATAAGCCAGAGTGAATGATACTACAAGTTGAGCATCTCTAATTCAAAAATCTGAAATCCAGAAGCTTCAAAATCTGAATCTTTCTGAGCACTGACTTGACCCCACAAGTGGAAAATTCCCCACCTGACACCTTTGCTTTCTGATGGTTCAGTTTAAACGGATTTTGTTTCTTGCACAAAATTATTAAAAATGTTATATAAATTACTTTCAGGCTATATGTATAAGGTGGATGTGAAACCTGAATTATGTAATTAGTCAGGTCCCATTGTATATATGCAGATATTCCAGAATCTGAAATCCAAAACACTTCTGGTCCCTAGCATTTTGGATAAGGGATACTCAGCTTGTACCTACATATTCATATATATTCACTGTTGTTAGAAATTTTTAAGTTGCTGTTTTGTGATGAATCTAAATCTTTTGTCTTGCTACCAAGCTATTGTCACTGCAGTGCATTATACCAAAGAGCAAAGTTTCAGTGCCATTGAAAATACAGAACCCATTAATATCGTGACTATATGATTGCATTTATATTCCAAGGTGAACCTTTTTTATACTAAAAATTTTGGGGAATATGTTTTGGGATGTATTATAGAGCTGAAACTCTAACCTCTTAATAGTTTTATAGAACTTAAAAATTTTTGATACAGTTACCCAATTGGTGATATGATCTTAAGCTTTTATGTCAAATTATTTAATATGACTTCATGCTTTATTATGCCTTATTATGGCTGATGTATTACTGTGGTGGAACAAAATATCTTTAAAAGTTAAAATATCCAAATATATAAACTCTTTTTTCCTAATGATAAAGTACCTTTGAGTATGAGTGTATCACAGCTTTTATTAGGAAAACTTTTCATTACATGCTTGTTTAAACTCTGTCTTCCAGGGGAAAAATAATAAGGTTGAATCATTTTATTAAAAATACATTTTGAGAAAATAACTAGGAACATCTGAATATTAAAGATATGAAAATGCACATAATTCATATTTCAGGTGGTATTTGCATTCAGTGCCTTACTAGTATTCTCAGAACATTTTAATGATTTCTAACATTTCTTAACAGTCATAGATATATAAATTTTCATTTTTTGTACTTGAGTATTCTAAATAAAACTGACATTTACTCTTGACAAATAAAACATATATATTTACTAAAATGTGTTTAATTTTCCTTTTCGAAAACTGTCATTTTCAAAACATTCATTTAATTACTCATTTGAATTATTTTGGAGATGAGGTATTTTATGAGTATTTTCAGACAATAAAACTTATTAGTCTGTGTCAGATTCTGAGCAATCATAAAGTCATCCAAGTTGTAAATAAAACCTTGCATAACACAATTTATCTGGACACTTTAAATTTTATTTTTGCGTTTGAAATTCACAGATATCTCTCAGTCTTAAAAAATTCAGTAAATTGTATGTGTCACAGAACAAGCTCAGAAGTTTCTTCGCAAGATCAGTGACACCTGGGTTCTGGTAGGCAGGGAGTCCTGGAGGGTAGGTGACCTAAAGTACAGAGCCAGGCCAGCGCGCCACAGTACTTAGTGCCAGCTGAGCAGACTGTTCACAGAGGGACTCAATGACTCTGCGGGAGTGTTTGTTACATACGTGGCTATATCTGACCACACTGTTTATAAAGCAGCTCTCCTTAACTCTGAAGAAGGTACGTCGAAATGTGAGATGGGTTGTTGGAATGGTAAACAGTTATTCAAGTTTCTAGTTGAAAAGAACGTAATAAACCTGCCTAAGACTCTCTGGACTTAACAGCAGGGCGGTCGTTTTGTACTGCTGATGACTGCTGTGAGAAAGCCTCACTCCTGCTTCAACCACAATGTGAATTTTAAATTTATTTCATATATTTGGGTCTCGTGTAAGATTTTATTTTAAAAGAGTTCAACAACAAAGAAAAAAATTTTTAACAATGACTTCTTATTACAAAGCTAATTTATTATCAGGCACATGATTAGAAAATGAATTATCCACTGATGCTTAAATTAATCTCCTGGGAATAAAATAAAGCTACTCATGTTTTGTTAAAAATTTTTCCCATTAAGCTTATGAAACAGCCATTAATCCTGGTACATACTCCCTCCAACTTTTAAAGCTGTTTCACATAGACTAGGATTTGAACTTCAAAGCAACACAAGGAAAAAGCATTACAGGGGTTATTATCACTATATTGTGGATAACCTCAGTGTAGGCCCTATGTTCCTATTCGGCCAGGAAATGGGGACACACACATGATTCAGGCCATCCATGCATCACGGAGCAGCTGGAGCAGGCTGGACAACCAAGTGGGTTTGGAGCAGGGCACTCTCAAAAGGGTGTCTGCCTCTCCTCACAGATCACAAGGAGCCGTCCAAGGAAGTGACTGGTCCTGAAGGACTGGAGCAGTTTGTCCAGAGTATGAAAGAATCAGAGTACCAGCGAGGAGCGGGACTCCGGTAAGGGCCAGGTTTCAGAAGCAGGTAAGGAATGGGTCAGGAAAGAGTTTATAAATCCTGTCCAGCAGGCAGTGGGAGCCATTGAAAGGCTTGGCCTCACAAGGTTAGGTGTTCTCCAGGGTTTATGGGAAGGAGATATTGGCAGGCAGGGGCAGCTGGGCCAGGGGCAGGCCAACCCTTTAGGGAGATACAATAGACTCACGTAAGGCATGTTTAATACTGATGTAGAAAGGAATGTATAGTCATGAAAATGGTAGCTGTATGGATAAATCCAAATGAATAGCCTGTATAAAACAATTACAACGTCTTATGGACTTGAAAATACATAGTGAATTAAAATATGAGAAAATAGTGGCAAGAAAGTTAGGAATGGGGTAAATCGAGGGATCTCAGGTTCTTGCATTAACTGGGAAGTGGTTAAGAGTCCCAGTCACACAGGTAAATTAGAATTGCTTCTCGCCATCTCTAAGGTAACCATGAAACACGGTGATGTGTGTAACTTCCAGGCTAATAGGAGGAAAACTGGTTTTAAAATGCTAATACAGGAAAAAAAAAAACTACAGGAAATAGCACAGGTGTGACAACCAGAACACATGTAGTAATATGGTAGATTTAGACCCAAATGTATCAGTAAGTACTTGGATTACATGCTCAATTTTTTAAAATAAGTTTCCTAAAAAAGCAGCTATATGTAGTTTACAAGAGAACAGTCTAGAACTTTGTCTTTATAGACAACAGAAAGGTTAAAAGAAGATGGGAAAAGGTACATCATGCAAATTTTAACCAAAAGCTAATGTGTAGCTTTTTTTTTTTTTCTTGACAGGGTCTTGCTCTGTTGCTCAACCTGTTGTGCAGTGGCACAGTCATAGCTCACTGCAGCCTCAAACTCTTGGTCTCCAACAGTCCTCCTGCCTTAGGCACATCACCATGCTTGACTAATTTTTTTTTTTTTTTCCTTTTTTGGTAGAGACAGAGTCTCACCCAGGCTGGTCTCAAACTCCTGGCCTCAAGTGATCCTCCCACCTCAGCCTCCCAAAGTGTTAGAAATACAGGCATGAGCCATTGTGCCTGGCCATATTTTCAATATATTAAGACAACTTTAAGGCCAAAAGCATTGCCAGAGATGAAAGAAAACTTGTAAAGTAAATAGCAGTTCTCAGCTATACATCCCTATGTACAAAATAATAGCTTCAGCATATTTAGAGCAAAGATTGATGGGAATATAGGAAAATACAGATCCCCACTTAGTAAGCGATTTAAACATACCGCTTGTGAATGATAGGACAAGCAGACTGAAAATTAGTGCAGATATGGGAGACTTGAAGAAACTATGCAACAGCCTTGGCCTTGTGAGCGCAGATAAAACAGTGCACCCGGGGAATGCTTCAGGCACACGTGGAACATAGAGTTGACTATGTTTTACTGTAAAGCAAGCCTCAATACCTTTATATTCTTGATCATAATACAGTTAAGGTAGAAATCAATAATAAAAAGTGAAAAAATGTCTCTAAGGGAACTTGTTTTGCTCAGCACCATACAACCCAGCAATCCCAGTCCTAGATGTGTACTCAAGAGGAATGAAGATACCTGTCCCACCAGGACCTGTCTAAAAGTTTGTGGCAGCCTTCATAATCTGCCAAAACCCAAAACAGCCCAAGTGTCCATCAACTGGTGAACACACAAACAAGTTGTGGTTCATCCATACAATGAAAAGGAACAAGCTACTGGTGCGTGGAAAACCACAGATGAATCCCAATCATATTACGCTCTCAAGCCAGACGCAGAAGGCTACATACAGCATGACTTCATTTATGTGACATTTTTTCCAAAGCACAACTACAGGGACAAAACTGGTTGTGCTGGGCGCGGTGGCTCACGCCTGTAATCCCAGCACTTTGGGAGGCAAGGTGGGCGATCACCTGAGGTCGGGTATTCAAGACCAGCCTGGCCAGCGTGATGAAACCCCGTCTCTAGTAAAAATACAAAAATTAGCCCGGCATGGTGGCATGTGCTTGTAGTCTTAGCTACCTGGGAGGCTGAGGCGGAAGAATTGCTTGAACCTGGGAGACCAAGGTTGCAGTTAGCCAAGATTGTGCCACTGCACCCCAGCATGGGTGACAGTGAGAATCCGCCTCAAAAAACAAAAAGCTGTGGTTGCCAGTCTTCACAGGTTGATTTCAAAGTGCACATGAAACCTTTTGGGGTGGTAGAACGTTCCATCCCATGTGTTTATTGTGGTGGTCACATGGCTACATATATTTGTAAAGACTCAGAACTGTGCACTCATCTTTTTTTTTTTTTTTTTGGACAGAGACCTGCTCTGTCGCCCAGGCTGGAGTGCAGTAGCATCATCTCGGTTCACTGCAACCTCCACCTCCTGGATTCAAGCGATTCTCCTGCCTCAGCCTCCTGAATAGTTGGGGCTACAGGTGCATGCCACCACACCCAGCTGATTTTTGTATTTTTAGTAGAGGCGGGGTTTCACCATATTGGACAGGCTGGTCTTGAACTCCTGACCTCGTGATCCGCCTGCCTCGGCCTCCCAAAGTTTTGGGACTACAGGCGTGAGCCACCGCGCCCAGCCAAAATATTGTTTATGCTATGTAAATACCTCAGCAAACCTATTTTTTTCTTCAAAAGTAAAAAAATGGAGTAAAAAAGAGGATATCACTACAAATGTGGTAGACATTAAAACCTTGTCAATACATTTGAAAATATAGAGGAAATGACAAATTTGTGTAGAAAATTAATGTGTTAATGTAAGAATTAATAGAAAATCTCACAACAAAGATAATGCAGGCCAGCTGTGGTGGCTCATGCCTGTAATCCCAGCACTTTGGGAGGCTGAGAGGGGTGGTTCACTTCACGCCAGGAATTCGAGACCAGCCTGGCCAACATGGCGAAACCCTATCTCTACTAAAAATATAAAAAATTAACCGGGTGTAATGGTGCATGCCTGTAATCTCAGCTACTCAGAGGCTGAGGTACGAGAATTGCTTGAACCTGGGAGGCAGAGGACACAGTGGTGAGCCGCGATCGTGCCACTGCACTCCAGCCTGGATAACAGAGTGAGACTCTGTCTGAAAAATAAAAGACAAGGTATAATTAAAGTTTCCATGAAGGTCAGGCTGAGATAACTTTAATTACAAATCATTTGAGACATTTAAAGACAGCCCGTCTTTCACAAACTCTCCCTGTGGTCGGCAAATAACGACCCCGAGAGACATCCACAGCCTTATTCTTGGACCTGTGAATATGTTCCCCTTCCTGGCAAACGGAACTTCACAGATGTGGTTAAGGCTGCAGACCTTGAGATAGAAAAATGATCCTGGACTGTCTAGGTGTGGTTGGGTCCTTGAAAGCTCAGAACCTTTTCTGGTTGTGAGCTGGAGGGAGATGTGACAGCTGAAGCCAGGTCAGAGAGTTACAATGCTGCTGGCTTTGAGGGTGGAGGAAGGGTTCCTTCCACAAGCCAAGTAGTGGAGGTTGCCTCTGGAGCTGGGAGGACCAAAGAAAAGGATGCCCCCAGAGCCTCCAGAAAGAGCACAGCCCTGCTGACAACTGGAGCCCAGTGAGGCGTGAGTCAGATTTCTAAATTCCAAAACCGTAAGATAAATATGTGTGTGTGTGTGTTTTGAGACAGGATCTTGCTCTGTTGCCTGAGCTAGAGTGCAATGGCACAATCATGGCTCACTGCAACCTCTGCCTCCTGGGCTCAAGCAGTCCTCTCACCTCAGCTTCACAAGTAGCTGGAGTCCCAGGTGGAAACCCACACCTAACTGGCTAATTTTTACATATTTTGTAGAGACAGGGTTTTGCCATGTTGCCCAGGCTTGTCTTGAACTCCTGAGTTCAAGCGATCCGCCCGCCCTGGCCTCCCAAAGTGCT